CTGTGTTCCTGATTAAACCAGACTCATAAATAATTACATCGGTTACACAACTACATGCTTATCCAGACGTCTTATGTTACACCTATCTGATCACAGCTCCATTAGAACCCATTTAAACACACACACAAATTTACCAGACTCCATTAAAAAAAATACTAAAAGAAAACACAAATATATTAACTGCATCCACCTACAAAAAAGATTCAAAATAATGGAAGCTTTAATAATAAAAAAAGAAAAAGCCAGCTCTTAACAATATTAACTACGAACAAAACCATAATGTGCTAACCGTATTCGGAAATTAAGAATATCCCTACCACACACTAAGACATACAAAGAACGCACACACTCAAGCTGAAAAATCGAATCATCTTTGATAATGACTAAAGGTATAGCCGAAAGCGATCGGAAATATAAAACATTTGGACAGTTTTTACACACTCTTTGTCCAGAAAAGAAAGCTTTTGTTCGAACACAAGAAAAATTAAATAAAAAGCTTAATCGTAGTACCTTGTCTGTCGTTTTTAATGAAACATGCATAAACGAAGGATTGCTGCCTAAATATACAACTATATATATATATATATATATATATATATATATGTATGTGTGTGTGTGTGTGTGTGTGTGTGTGTAAGATCAGGTATTGTAATTATTTACATTGTTCGGACTGTTGTCCTCATCTTTATTGCCATATTTGCGACGTTTCGGCTATTGTACGCCCCGGCCTTCTTCAGGTAATCGGAATTTCGAACTGAACCCATTATTTGGTCCAACCAACACTTTTTATGTACTGGGCCATGTGCCCTCAAGGACATCGGAAGAGGCATGACATGTGGAACAACCTACTCTGGTGGATGAAATAAAGGGTCCGTACAACGGCCGAAACGTCGTGAATATGACAATAAAGAATAGGACAACAGTCCGAACAACGAAAATAATAATTGTATATATATATATATATATATATATATATATATATATATATATATGTTCACGATGCGGGACTGAAAAGTTTTCGGTCCCTTTCAGCTACCAAAATCGGGACAAATGACAATCGATCATTTTCAAAAGTCTTCTTTTTCGGAATTTTTCAGCTCATGCTCGCATATATGACGTGACTTGTTATTTTTTACGGTTTAAAGCCAGATCACATTTTCCATTTTAAGAATAATTCCCTCGCATTAAGACAATGATTTTCCAGATACAAGTCCCACTATTTAACCCATATCTGGGGAAGAAAATGGATGCATAATTTAACCATGGCTGTTTTGCGCGTAATGGAATGTAACTAATCCTACTGGAATTCTATCTTGGCTCTCCTATTTCTTATTTCGGGTTCGCTATCCATTACACCACCCGCACAACTATAGATATGATGCTCCTGAGGAGGAAAAAGAAAGTAAGAGAATGATTTATGATAGAGAGTTGTTCAATTGAGAAACTGGAGCTGGCTGTAACATTAACGGGACGATGAGAAAACAAAGTTAAAACGAAATCAAAGGGAAATTGAAGAGAATGTTCTGTGTTCGCATTCGTCTCACGTAACTCATGTTTGTATAATCTCGTTCGAAACGAGGTCTCGACAAAACGGCCTGTTTAAATAATCAACTGTATATACATTTATTTTTTCGATTTTTGTTCTATTTGTCACTGCCTATTACTTTCGTTTTTTCTTTTTTGTTGGGTGTTTTTTCGAGTCATGTTTATTTTTTGGGGTTTGTTCTGAGATTTATTTTAGTTTTTTCTTAAATATTTTCTAATTTTTGTTTTCAGATTTACAGCCTTGGTTCCAGCATTTTCCCTTAGTGAATGCTTTCCTTTTTCTATCGTTGCATAGTCATCTTACTCTCCTTTCGATCTAATGTCGTAAGGCACGCTGAGGGAATCTGAACATCAAGGCTAATAAATAATGATAGTGTGTAGGAAGTAAATGAGGCCTAAATCAACGTTGGCCTGTCACACGAAGCCAACAGTGGCAAAAATAAAACAAAGACGAAGAGAAAAATGAAGAAAAAATGAAATAGAATTAAATATCGGGTAAAAATTAGAGAAGCATTTACATTTTTTCAATCTGTGTTTGGTTGGTACGATATTAACTTAATTTTCCTATATCCATTATTATTTTCTTTCATATTGTTCTTTTTATTTTCAGAAATAATAGCAAACACGTTAATAATCAGATTTTCTTTATTTTCAACGTTTCTCATCTTAACATTTAATTTCCTTTTCGTCTTCTATATCTTTAATTTATTATTATTATTATTATTATTAATTTTATTATTATTATCTGTCCATATTTCTGAAATGAGGTATTGTAACTATTTCCACTATTTATATTGTTTGGACTGTTTTTCTCATCTTTGTTGTCATATTCACGATGTTTCGACCGTCCATCTTCAGGTGATTGGAATGTTTTCGTCCATCGGTTATAGTTTAACGTCTCTCAGGATATCTTAGATATTTTTAGTTATTTCCCTTTAGTAACTCAATTCTCTAAGGTTTTTGTTCACCTCTGCTTTGGCCTTCGTGGTATTGAACTCACAACTCTTTGGGTCAAATCATTGGATTACTTCAACAAACGCATTTATCCACTGGGCCATATGCATGATTTTCTTTTTCTTTTCATTTTTAAAACTAATGTCTCAATAAACTTTTTTGCCAGCGCTCATATTACAATTCGGTTCGAAATTCTAATCACCTGAAGAAGGACTAAGTGCACAACGGCTGAAACGTCTTGAATTGAACAACAGAAATAAGAACAACAGTTCGAACAATGTAAATCGTGTATATAATATTATTGTGTTTATTATTCTTTTATGAAACTGTGTAAGATTTTGAATATGACGGCTACATAAAGTTATCTGTCAAGGACCCCAGACAACACTTTCCTAAAAATATGCCAATTTTTGGATGATTCCAAGTTGGTATAGTATCCTCTCCAGGTCAACGAAGTCACACGGCTTTAATGGGATTGATCTCAACGCGCCAATCAACACTGGAATCATCACTTGATATCTCTTTCCTGCTTTACAAACAAGCTTGCCATCTTAATTTTCAAATAAGTGTAGTTTGGAATTTTCTCAATCACATTGTTTGCTATATTTGTGTAATTTTGTAAGGCAACATCAATAATATGACAGTTTTTGTTGCCTTTGTCGCACACAATAATATCTCAGCAAGTTGCCAACTTCTGTGATGCTGAAATCATGATGCGACCTCAAAGACGACGACAGGTAATGGAAAAAAATGGCGGATATATAGTTGTATAAATTTATTTAGAAATATTTAATTATTGTCTGAAATTCGCTTAAACGTCGCGACAAACATTTATTCCGCCTCAATATATGTTTCATATATCAACAACGTTTGAAATGAAGTGATGTGTTCAAACGCCTCCTGTTCAAAAGCGAAATGAGCGTTTGATCCGGCACAATATTTAGCTCAATAACATTTTAAGAAAAAATATTGTACCTTTGGTTTCAGGCAAAAGACTCCGTAAAGGTATGTATGGAAGAGCGAATCAGGAAAATGAGAAATAATAATAATAATAAAAATAATAATAATAATAATAATAATAATTGTTTCTGGATATTTATCAATATCCAGAAACAATTATTATTATTATTAACTCGAAATGCAAATTTTCTGATAAATATCTAGAATTAATTGATCCTCTTGTTTGAGATCGCACGGTGATAGCACCTACTCAATATAAATAGTGTGTTGATATCTGCACTGGAAAATATGTCACTTTTACGGCAAGGAAACTGCAAGATTTTGGTGT